CTGTCACCCAGACAGTCCCTGGAACGAGGTCCCAGCTCTGCTGCTGTGGGCGTTGGTGCCTAATAACTACCGGCACTGCCACCGCTTGGCTTCCTCAGCCCCCTGGCCTGGGACGCCCTCTGTCTAGTTGGGTCGCCAGCTCAAGCCCTGGACGTGCCTGCGGTGCACGGTCTGGTGGTTTTGATTTCTGCGGAGCTGGGTGGCCCAGTCCCTGCCCAGGTCTGACGGGGAGGAGGATGAGCTGTGGGGGGGGGGGGGGCTTCCCACGACGCGCTGGCCTGCGGGACCGCTCTCCTGCCTCTCCGTTCTCGCCTCTGGCGTCCCTGTATTCAGCCCTCTGTCCGTCCTGCCAGCCACCCTGGTCCTGGGCCCTTGCCTCTGCCCGCGCTGGCCCCTGTGCTGGCCTCCTCCTGGCTCCTCAGCACCTGCACCCTGGGACTGACATGTGTCTGTTCCTTCGCTGTGCGCACGGTTCTTCTTGTGTCGACGCCCATCCATTCAGGTAGCCTCCCTCCACCTGTGCGGCAGGAGGGTCCGGAGCCTGTTGCAGTCAGGCTTCTTGTGGTCGTGCAAGGCATCAGACTCAGGCGGGAGACGCGGCTTCCTCAAGGGTGCTCCTTGTGGGGCCGGCGGGGCGGGGAGTCCCAGGGCTGAGATGGGGCCCGGGTGCGGGGCGGGCCTTGCCGCCCTGCCTCCTCACTGGTGTTCATCCATTCGTGGGCTCACGCACTGCCCCCCGCCCCCGTATCTGTTAGGCATCTTTTCCGAGCCAGGCTTTGCGTGGGCTTGGAGGCGACCAGGATGAATGAGACTGGGGAGCCCCCGTATGTCGTAGCAAACACGCGTGTGTTGTGTCTGGCACACAGTAGACCTCCGTAAATATTTGCGGGTGAGCGAAGGGAAGAACGGGCGCGTCTGGGTGATTGTTGGCACTGGGATGGCGCACGACTCTTACCTCTCTTCTCGTTTTCTCTGTCTTGGGCGTCGGGGGCTCCCCTGGCCTTCCGCCTCCACGGGCAGCTGCTCAGCCCTGCGCCCCAGGGGTGGGGTCCCCGCCAGTCTCTGGTTCGCTCTCAGGGTGCCCAGGTCTCTTGCTGTCCGGCTGATCCCCATGGTCCCTCCCGGGAAGGAGCAGCAGCCGACCTTCTGGGTGAGGCTCTTTCTGACCGTGTGCCGGTGGGGGCTGGGGCCAGAGAGAAGAGACCCTCACTGTGGCCTGGGGCTGAGCCCGTCACCTGTGCCCTGGGGGCAGGGGGCCCTGATTCATGGGCTGGACTGAAAGAAGGTCTGCGTGGCTGTGACATCAGAGGGGCCAGCAGAGCCCTTGCTGGACCCGAGGGGCCGGGACGAGGACCTTGCTCATGACTTTGTAGAGGTTTACAAGATCTTCGATGCGTGGCTGGTTTTTTCATGGAGCCACTCCTGTAGGAAGACTGCGTCTCAGAGCGGTGGAGTCAGACACAGGCCCGCCTGCCGCTCTTGCTGGAGCCTGGTCATCTCGCAGAGCCCTGGGATCCTCACCTGTAAAACAAGGACGCAGTGGCGCTCGCCTCCCAGGGCCGCCTGGCTGGCTGCGCGCGGGGACCTGGTGTCCAGCAGGTGCTCCGTAACGGCCAGCTGCCCCCGGCGGGCCCCCAGTGGTGCACACGTCAGAAAACAGCAGGGCTGTGGGTTGTTGGGGGCGGAGCGTGAAGCTGGCATGTAGGGTGCCAGCTCCGGCCATTCCCTGTCCGGCGCACGTGGCTCAGGCGGCCCCAGGCGCCTGCAGGAGACTCGGGTGGGGCCTGAGGGGAAGGTGGCAGCGCCCACTTCCAGGAAGCCCTCCCCAGCTGCTGGCCGCAATGGAAGGCAGGGAGCTCCGAGGCCTGCTCGCTCGGCTTCACAGGGCCTGGGGCCGTGGGAGGCACCCGCGGGCCAACTGTAGTTCAGGCCCAGGCGGCCGCCGCGTCGGAAGCACGAGGCCACCTGTGGGCTGGGGCCTCGGACAGGGCCGGTGGGGTCTCTGGGCTCTGCCTCCTCCCCGCTCGATCGGTGGATTGGATGAGGGCCTGCAGGGGGCTCTGCGGCGGCCACCCCCGACCAGCCAGACCTGGGCCAAGGGAGTAGAGAAGGTCCGTTCCTTCAGTCCCCAGGGGCTTACTGAGCAGCTTGCGGGGCTCGAGGTGGGCGCAGGAGGAACGAGGTGACTGCAGACAGCACCCTGGTGGGGGGACGGGCGCCCCAGGGCCTTGTGTCCTCAAGCTCGGGGCCCCTGCAGGCCCCGGGTCCGCGGAAGGGCGTGCTGCTCACCGTCCAACTGGCGGGCCCAGTCCCAGCCTTGGCTTCGGGCGCCCGCTCAGAGCCTCCGTGTTCTCGTCTATAAATGGAAAAACACCCCCCTTTACCTCTCCCTCCCTAGTGTGAGGCTCAGAGACAGGCGGCCTCAGCCGCGGCCCCCCCAGCTCGGAGGCCTCCTGCCCCAAGTCCCGACGGCGCTGACGAAGCCTGGGGCCCCGGGGACTGCGTCCGCGGGGCCGTCCTGCTCCCCAAAGCAGCTCAGGCCCCCTGGTCTCCCCCCTCTGGCTTTCTGAGGGTCAGACTGTGCAGTCGAGGGACCCCACAGGACTGCAGGGGTGAGGCCCCCTCCTTCACCCACTCCCCTCTCTTGCCCCCCTCCGCGAAGCCACCGTGCCTCCCCATTAGTAGACAGCGGCAGGGGAGGTGACAGTTCCTTAAAACAGATTTATACTCTTGGATGACTTTATGGGTTTTTGACTTATAAAACCCTGAGACTTGACATGCTGATTTATCTCCTCCTGAGTCAACAGGATGTACCAGATTTAAAAAGATCAAATGCGATGTAGTGTTTGTGGTTCCAATTGTGGATGAGATGGGCTAGGGCAGAGTGCGCTGCCAAGTAAACACGGCAAAAAAAAAAAAAAGGCAAAACAAAACGAGGATAATTTAAATACGTCTATTAAATTGTGTGTTAAGTAAAGTAGCTGGAGCGTGTGCCGGACGTAATGTATCATCTAGAGAGTTGGAGTAGCAGATGAAGCCGGAATTACGGCTCTTTTTCTCCCTTCCCCTTCAGAACATTTTTTTTTATTAAGGGAAGAGACGGTAAACTAGGAATCTCAGAGCCGGGGCTTGGCGCGCAACCGTGGCTGTGTGATGACTTACAATATTGAAGGCTCCCGATGATATTTCTCATTTCTTTGCTTTCTCTTTCTTGCCGTTGCCGGAGCAGCGGATCCGATTTCCCGAGATAAATATGTTGCCTGGCTTTTAATGGGATTTCTCTATTGCTGGGAGTTGGCATGTTCTGATAAAAAGAAAAAAAGAGCCTAAAAATTGCACGTCCCCTAATTGGTAAGAAGAGAGATGTTTTGATGGGCCACCAATGGAAACATTGATTTTTACTGCCTCCGCGCCGTTCCATGCGGCGTGTCGGGCCCTGTTCCCCACCACGGAAGGCGGCCGCGGCAGGCTCTTTGATGCGCTGATTTGTCTTTGCAGGATCTGGGTGTTGGGTGCTTGCAAGTGCGTGCTGTGCAGACTGGAGCAAGAGAGCCCTTACACCATCATCTGTTTCCAAATTGGAATATTTATAGGACTGTGGCTCCCACCTCGAATCGAATGCATTCTCTGCTTCATTCTTCTCTCCTGCTTTGAAGACCAGCCCTCGGGGGCGTACAGGTTGCGTGTGGAGGCCTTTTCCTGCAGCTGTGGTGTCATGTGTGGCTCACGCACGCACACTCCTTTGCACGCACAGACATGTTTGCATTGGGGTCTTTACACACAGGAGCGATTTCTCTCTTTAATTTGAATCAGTGCTAGTTTCCGGGCGGGTGGCAGGAGACCACACGCACTTCGATTTTCTAGTCCGAGTCTCTGTATTTTAATGGGCAAGTTTAATCCACTGACATTTATTGGGATTCCTGATCTGTTCCGTGTGTTACACTCACCATGTTTGTTTTGCACTTTGATTTACAAGTTCTCCATGTGTCCCGTTAATGCCTCTGGCGGAGTCTATGTACCGGTCCCCGGCTCTGCAGCGGGGTGCACTCGGCAGGAGGCAGGGAGTCGCGTGAAATGTCCGCAGGGGGCCGGGGACAGGGCGTCCTCCTGGCTGCATGCCAGGCGCCTCACCTGTGAAATGGGAATAACGAAGCTGTCCCCCTCGGGCCGGGGGCAGGACTGCATGTTGGCTTTTAACAAACTATGGCAGTGGTCCCTGAAGGTATCGTCTTACCTGTGATGGCTTTTAGCTGCAGGGTGTGTGAGGCTGAGAAGCGGGTCTGTGTGTAGGTAACCCGCTTTGAAAAAGTACAGAACGCGACACAGACGCAAGACGCCATTGCCGTGCCTTGTAACTGTGCCCAGCAGACGGGAGGCATTTTATTTGGAAGGAATTGGTGGAAGGGTTCGAAGCCTGGTTCTCCCTGTCTAGGCTGATACCTGGGCACCAGCGAAGGCTCGGGCACGGCCCGACTCTCTGTGGTCCCGCTAACACGTGCGCTCCTTGGATTCCAGAGCCAGGACATCCATGCGGAGGGCCGAGCCCGCGTCGGCACACGCGGAGGCTCGTGGCGAGGAGGGTGGACTTGGCCCCAAGACCTCCCAGCTCCGAGTCGCGAGGCTTTGGGGGAAAACGTTTGGGGGCGTTAGGAACAGCCGACGGGCTCTGGAGAAACGTGTGGGAGGATGGTTTTCCGGAGACAGATGCGAAGGCATTTTCGCCTCCCTGACGGGTCACAACCCCCAGCGTCCCTTCACGGAGGTAGGTGACAGGAAATCCCCATGGAAGATTTGCACCAAGAATTAGAGAACCTAGTTGAGAATTACGGCACCGCATGCTACAAAAAACCCCATACATTAATATACCATGAGGCGTCCAGGATAATAGACCCTGGGAGGTAGACTAATTAAATGTATCTTAATAAACGCCGGGCAGTTCTTTGAAAACCCTTTCCCGAGACCCCGTCAGCCCACGTGGACTGTATTCTTCCTGTTGGCAGGAGGCCTAGAAGGAGAACCAGAGTGTGACCAGAAAACCAGCCGGGCGCTGGAGGACAGGAACAGCGTGACAAGTCAAGAGGAGAGAAATGAGGACGATGAAGACATGGAGGATGAGTCAATTTACACCTGCGATCAGTGTCAGCAGGACTTCGAGTCGCTGGCGGACCTGACGGACCACCGGGCCCACCGCTGTCCTGGAGGTATGCTCAGCAGCGCGGGACGCTGACAGGTGGTTATGCGGGTAATTGGACAAAGCAGCAGCTTGAAGCCTCGGGTGAGATTAAAGAATTAATAATGTAATTTTACAGGGAATGTCATTTTATTGTGGTGTCTTGGGTACCCTGTATCCGCCTTTTCAATACAATTAAGAAGAAAAGCAACAGCTTTCCGGCCGGCGGGAGCGAGGGGGGAGGCTCCCTGTCCCCGCTGCCCGCCGTCCATGCTCCGTAGGACACGGGCCCGCCCACCCCCGCCGCCCCCCCCACCCCGGATTTCTCGAAGGCCTTTGGAAACCCAGCCATTAGGAGGTTGTTCGTGCGCAGTGACGCGACCTCTGTGCCGAGAGCTGTGGGAAGATTGAGCTCCGAGGCCAGGGCTTGTGATGGGCAGGGACAGTCTCACAGGCCAAGGAGAGCCTGGCCAGAAAGGGGCCCGGTTTCGCCTCCGCGCTTGGCCCCGCTGCCTCTCTGAGGGCTGGCTGCTGCCGCGCCGGACGGCGGTCCTGTTCTCTGTTTCCTCAGTGCTCCTGAGACGGCGGGCAAGGCCAGGGCTTCACAGGAGCTGTTTACAACTTCACGAGTTGTGTGCGACTATGCGTCTGGGTCACGGGGTGGGGGCAGGGCGGGGGACGATGGCATGTGGGTCCCCTGGGGGTGGCAGCCGCGCTGCAGGGCCCTGAGTTTGGGACATCTGTGTTCCTCACACAGCTGTCCCCAGAGAGCTTCCTGTTGGATCGTGATTGTTGGATGAAAATATCTTGGGTGCCCGTTTATGGGGAAAGGACCTAAAATCTCAGACCGCTGTTCTAAAGAGGACCTGTTGCCTGTTTTGGGGGAAATTTGCTGGTAAGAAGTAGGCTGGGTTCCAAGCTCTCCGTTTCCCTTCCTTTCATACCATCTCAGAAGTTAGAAAGCCAAGCGGTTGGGGAGCTGCTATGACTTTCCCTCAAGGGACGCCTGTACCCGCGCGCCCTGGCTGGACCCAGTGCCTGTTCTCACCTCGGAAGGGAACAGATACCCCAAAACAGTGCCCCCAAGAGGACTCTTCCAGGCCTGGGCTTTGGTGGGGCTCAGCAAATCAAACCCCAGTCATTTGGATTTTGTGATATTCCCACCACAGGCAGAGGTGACAGCTGACTTAGGGTCTTAGCGTACTGAGGCGTGAGAGGGGCAGGTGCGTGCTTGGCCAAGGTCACATAGCGATTTGGTGGCCGAGCCAGGGCGTCTTCAGGCCCCTGAGCTGTGCACTCTCCCCTGCTTGAGAAAAATCACAGATGCTGGTGCTCGTCCCCATTTAGCCAGGACCTGCGGTGGATTCTAGCCTGTAAGAGAATGAAATACTGTCTCCTACTTTTAAAACAGCCAATGAGTTGGTCAAAGGAAAAGCCACTCTCTCCATTTCCTAAGTGTGCCGTTGCGGTTCCCTGCTGTGCGCCTCGCTGTGCTCCGGTTCTCAGAATCAAGGAGATTTTTGTATCTCTTGCCACCCTTTTGGTACCGGTGGCATTTCTAGGCGGAGAAGAGAGCATGCGACGCGGTGGGGCCTGTGTGGGGGCCTGTGCTGGAAGTAGCCATATCCGGTCCCAGGCAGGAGTCTCATCACAGGGCCTCCTCTGCCCTCAGCCTTGGACTCCGGCAGAAGGCGTGGCAGCCGCCGTGGGGGCTGGGGGCGTCCGCCGATACGCCTGCCCGCGCCCCAGCAGGACCCCACCCACGACCTCCACGGAGACTGGGAGTCAGACATTCCTAGAAGGAGTCCGTGAAATACCTGACAGCGCCCCTGAGAAATGTATGGCCACCCCGCACTGGTGTGACCCGGTCTGGGAGAGTGTCCCTGACGCAGAAGAGATAGGAGAGGCGTTATTTCCCCCAGGCCGTGGGTGCCTGGGTTCCCCATGACAGACAGGGTAACCCCTGGGAATCGCGTGTGTCTCCTCCAAATCAGGTCCCCGCCTGGGACGGCTCCACACCCTCCGCCTGTGCCGCGGTTCTCACCCGCTGTCCCCAGCGGTGTCTCTGGGCCTGTTTGGCCGAGGGGGCTCTGTCACCCCCTCCTTAAAAATCCGTTGTGTACGCCGGGCTCTAGCCTGCGGTGCTTGAACATTGTCTCCGCTTTACAAGGCCGGCCTGGGCCCGGGAGGCGAGGGCAGGCTCTCCCGGCCGGTGCAGGGGTCTGCTGGGCGCGCGGCACGGGCCGTCCAGTCACGGAGCCGGGGACGCTGCAGGTGGGCGCCGCCGTCCTCACGGAGCATAGGGGCACCTGGAGGCCTGACAAAGGCCGTTTCAGAGAGGACCGTGTCCGCGGAGGCCGGGGGCTCTGGGCGCTCAGCGGAGTTTTCTGAGAGAACCATTGAGTCTTGTTTGGGGGCAGGCGGAGCCCTCCGTGCTGCTGAGAATTTGGGGCCCGAGGGCAGGTGCACCTGTCCCATCCTGGCTGCGCCTTGTCCCCTGCAGAGGGCTGTCCCCGTTGGGCCGCCGGGCAGGTGTGTGGGGAGGGGCGGGCCTCCCAGGCAGGCAGCAGTGTGTCGGGGTGAGGCCGTGGGGGGTGTTGGGGGCCATCTCGACTGGGGCTCTCTGACACTGCTCTCGCAGAGCGACCTCCAGGTCCTTGACAGGGGAGTTGGGCGGGGGTGGGGGCCACTGCCCTGTCCCACGAGATCCAGGGATGGGGAGCAATTGCAAACTAAACTCCAGACAGAAACAGCTTTTTTGAATGCTCACGTTCATAAAAATAAGAGGGGAATTTGCTCAAATAGCGACCGCAAAAAAAAAAAAAAAAAAAAAAAAGTGCTCCCTGTGGCTTAATTTCTCTGTACCTCCCTCAGCCACCCCCCCTTCCTGAGGACGGGGACCGAGGAGCATGTCGCCAGCCCCTCAGGAAGGGCAGACCCTCCTTTTCTGGCAAAGGTGAGACGCTGCTGCGTGGAGCGCCGGGTGGAGAGTTAATTACACCCTGGTTTATTCAGCTGCGGCCAGAGTGACCCGTGGGCCGTAATTACAGGGCCGGGAGCGTTCCTGTCCGCGGGCCCTGCTGCCAGCCTCGTTCCCGCGCGCCGGCTGGCCCGGGCTCGCCTTTGTGTGCCGGCAGCGTGGGTGGGGCCCCGCCTGCCTCGCCGCTTAGGGTGCCCCTCGTACTGGATCCATTTGGGCAAAACAGAGCAGGCGCGGGCCAGCCGCTGGGCAGAGCTGTGCCAAGTGCACAGGTGCAGGTCGCCGGTGCCCTCTGCCCACGGGAAGCGTGCACAGCCTCTGGGTGTCGGCCGGCGTTGCGCAGCGCAAGGGCCTGGGGTTCGAGCCCAACGAACAGCCCCACGTGAGGAGCCTTCCTGCGTGCAGACAGCATCCAGCTAGAAAACAGGGGCTAGGAAAGGGTCCCGCTTCCGATGGCCACAGATGGATGAGGACCAGGGAACCGATCCAGGAAGCCGCATCCCGGTGTTTGGACGAGACCCATAAACAGCATCCGCCAGTGGCGGACACAAAAGAGACGTAAATAAAGGACAAGGCAGATCTTATCCTTGCGTGGAAAGATCCACTATTGTAAATATGTTGATGTGGCCTGAATTAACCCATTAACCTGCCTTAAGCCAATGAAAAGGATGATAGGGTTGATTTAGAAATGACAAGCTGAGTCTGACATTTCTAAGGAAAAACAGGCGTGCAAGGACAGAAGGGAATTCCAGAAGAGAGGGGTGTCGTGTGGGGCTGGCCACCAGGCCAGTGCGGGACAGACCGGGGAACAGAACGGAGACCAGACGGGGACCTGCATAGATTTAGGGTATGAGAAAGGTGTCACTCCAGATCGCGGGGGGACAGATGGGTCACCCAGGGAGGGGGACTGGGGAGAACAGGGTAGCCATCCTGAAAAAAAAGGAATTGGATCCCTTCCTCCTTCTAACACCAAACAAATCCCAGATGGATCAGAAATCCAAACATAGAAGGAAAACTTTAAAATACTAAAAGAAAACAAGTGAGTTAAAAAAAAAATTGTAGTATTAGAGGGGGGGAAGGCTTTTTCTAAATATAACCCTAAACCCAAAAGCCATAAAACAAAGGGAATATTATAAAAACAAAATGTTTCTGCATTGCCAAAACCACCATAAATTCAGCCAAGGACACACACATCACACGCAGAAGACATTTTTCTTAATGCGTAAGGCGCTCCCACCAACACTAAGAAAAGAGCCAATAAATCAACAGGAAGCAGGGCCAGTGCCCACTTAGGCTGGCGGTGCCACGCTGTCTTTAGGTATTTCGAACATCTCCCATGTGTAAAGGACAGAAATGGAACCTGAAAAAGAAACGCCACTCATCTTAAACATGTAGAAAGTGTCAGAACCTCCTTTACGTAAGAGACCTGTACATTTAAGCCACAGGAAAACACCTTTTATTTTATTTTATTTTATTTTATTTTATTTTATTTTATTTTATTTTACACTGGCCAGATTGGCAACAATCAAGGATTTTGATGCCAAGGCTTGGGGTCTTGGTCTCTTCTCTGTCCCCAGGGCAGCCGTGGCCTGTGGCTGGAACACATAGTAGGTGCTCAGTAAATGTTTGGTTGATCTCGTCGAGGGGGACAGACGTGTCCACAGCATGACAGGCAGCGATACAGGCTCTGAGGCGTGAGGGCGCAGAACGGAGAGCGCCCTGCACGGAAGCTGGGCCCCGCCGGTCTGCAGGCAGCGTGGCATCGGAAGGGGGACTTGCAGGCAGGAAGAGATGGTTTATTCAGTCAACAAGTATTTGCTGAGCAGGTGCTAGGCATAGGGACCCTCGGGTGCTCGGGAGGCAGGACCTGGGTGTTTACAGGAAAGGTAATTTGGTGGAGACGGCAATCGCTTCGTAAAAAAGTTCTTCGGTGGGATGAAAGGTGACCTTTCAATAGCCGCCGTCCCCGCGCCTTGAAGGCTGTTTCAGTGTACGCAGATGTCACCCCCAGCTCCTGGGGAGGCGCTGGCCATGGAGTCAGCGGGCTCATG